CTGGACTGGTGGGGTGCGAGGTCCAGACGAGCCCACCAACCTTCGCAAACAGCCAGGTTGTCCGTCACGAAAACCGTGGCCCCTGTCGAATACCGTGCTCCCAATACTAGCGCTTGAAGCTCTCCTCGATGAACTGTCTGGGACTGGCCAGGGAGAGGACCGAAGAGCCCGAACTCGATGTCCACGGCATCAGGCTGCATACGGCAAACGGCCACGCCCACTCGCCGCAACCTCGGTACCATGGAGTCGCAGCCTCCACTCGCGTCTCCGAACAGCATGAGGGGGGCCTGAACAGACCCTTGGCCGAAGCTCCAGTCGTCGTCGGAGAGACCGATAGGTGTCCACTCGGGATGCTCGATCGGGGGTGGAACGTCGACCCACGGCGATGGGAGAAGGCCACGGAGCCAGAAGCACGGGTACGCGTCGGACTCGGCCACTGCTCGAGAAACCAAGTGACTGCTCATGCGGTACGCGGGAGAGTCGCTGTTGGCCTCGCACGTCCACATCCGATGAACAGGCGTCTCGACTTCATGCCCGCAACGAGGACAAAGGCCATGAAATCCATCCCGTACGGAGTCGGTGTCCAGAAGACGCGAACCTGGCCACGAGCCCCCTGCCGCGATGGAGACCATGAGCGGGGCCAAGTGCGAGTGGCGGGACCTCTCGAGAGAGCGAACCAAATGGCGATACGAAGTGAGGTCCGTGCCGAACTGAAGCCCCTCGCCGCACCAGTGGGTAGAGGCGGCCTCCCATAGCTGCGCGAGGATGGAGGCGTCGAAGGCGCTGGTGAGCTGACGAATCTCACGGTCGGAGAGGGCGCTCGCGTCGGGGAAGGTCCAGCGTTCCCATGCTCCAGCTCCCAGATGACATACCCAGCCGCACGGGCCGACGGGGTCCCAGGAGTACTCCATCAGCAAGGTCATGAGAGCGGAGATCGGGCCTCGAACGTGGCGATGACGCTGCGCCGACGGAGTGTCCCGCAACCTGGCGTGGATAGGGATCCACGCTTGCTGGACTCGCCGCCGAAAGTCAGGGTCACTACGCCAGGCACGAAACCAGAGCTCCAGCTGTTGCCTGGCGAAGCTGCGTGCTGGATCGTGATGATCGTGGCGTAGCTGGAGCACTGTGGTCAAGCACTTGCCGCCGCCGGCTGCGGAGCTGACAGCACCGAGGCGACGACGAGCCTGCAACAGAAGGGACGGCGGAGTTCCGTAAACCTGGTGACCGTAGCTGCCTGCTGCTTGCGGGGATGCTCGTTCGATCCTGGCGCACGTGGCGTAGCGCCTGCTGGCCCGAACGAAACGGCGCACTCGCGCGTGCCCACTGGCGGCTTTCTTGAGACGGATTGTGCGTGTGGGACGGCGAAGGCCCAGGCCAGCTCCCAAATCAACTCCTAAGCACGGGGCGCACTTGGTGGCAGTGACGATGTGCCCACGGCTCCTGAGGGACTCCATGATGCGCCTGGCAAGCCCACGACGGTTGGCGATGATGACGCTCTTCGGCGAGATGGAAAGCCCGTCGCCCTCGAACAGCGCACACGTCTCGTCCACGACGTGGGTGAGCGTCTGCTCCACGACGGTCTCGGTGCCCACGGCGGCCTGGGATAAGTCGTCGACCCAGATGCGTGGCGGTAGAAGACCCTGTGGGCGCTGCCGAGTAATGGAGTCCAGGATGAAGTGGGTCAAGCAGCGGGCGAAGCGAGTGCCAGACCGCAGTCCCTGAACAATGGAGCGGGACGGCTGGAACGCCTGCGAAGCTGCGCCATCTCGTACCAGCACGCGAGGAGCCAGACAGAGCTGCAGCTCGAGGGCGAGCATGGTGGGAGGGAACCCGAGCCGAAGCGCGGCGCGGCCGAGCTTGACCCAGTCCATAGAGTCGTAGAACGACTTCACGTCCAGCATGGCGTGAGCGTACGCGAAGCCCAAGGTGCTGTACGCTTCCTCGTCGGTCGCGCGCGCGAAGGCCTCGAAGATGGCGGCATTGCCGCGGACGGCGGCGTCCCACGGGGGCGCGCTCTCCTGGCTCCAGTCCTGCACCACTGGTTCGCGAGCCTGGCTCCAGATCCTGGTGATCATGCACATCAAGCCAATGACACGCTCGCCACCCGACTTCTTCGCAAGAAGCTGGCCGACAACAATCAAAAGCTGCCAGGGCCAGCTTCCGCCGTGCTCGCAGGCCCGATACAACCGCAGGAGCTCCTCCAAGCCGCAATCAGGAAGCCGTTCGACATCCGTCGGCCGAAGTTGGTCGGCGCCTCGTCCTGCGCGTGGGCGCATGCGCCGCAAGGCGCTGCGTAATTGAACCACGTCGAGCTCAGGGAGATCGCCTTCACCAAGGAGCTGCCGTAGTTCGAGCCAGAAACCGTCCACGAGCGACGTGTCCACCTGCGACGGCGCCCACAACTCGTGCCAAGTGCGGGCCTTGAGGTCGACGAGATCCTTCGGATGGACGAGGTGCAGGCTGCTTGTGGGGTCGAGGAGCTCGTCGGCCAGGACAGGCTGGCTTTTCAGCGTTCTGAAGAGCACCGTCGAACCCTGCGGCGTGACGATCCACTCCTTGAAAGACCTCAAGGATGCCCCGACAGCGCGACCTCGCCCGCGGCGAAGGCACTTCTGCACGAGCTCCTCGAGATGCTCCAGGAGGTGGATGGGCGCACGAAGCAGGGCGCGAAGCTCCCGTAGGAAGCCATGCCACGATAACCTCGGGGCGCCCTGACCAGCCTGAACAGGCCGCCGACGAAGAGCACCTCCAACGAAGGCTCGGCGCGCATGAGGTGGCCGATCCTGGGCGAGGCGACGGCATTCAGCAGCTGCGCGTCGACGTTCTGCCTCGTGACCAGGGTGGGATCGCGCAGCCCGCGACGTGCACTTGGTGAAGTGCAGGAGCTTGACGAGGAGCGTGTGCAGGGCGGCCCACCAGCTGAGCGAGGCCTCCTCGTCGGAGACCTCCGCCGCAATGGCCACGGCTGGGGTCGCCACGGCACATTCACGAAGGCGGACGCCGTCCGCACGGGAGGGCCCGTCACCAAGTTCGGCAAGACGAGAGTGCCGCCGAACTGCGCCTTCGAGCTGCCTGACCCAGCGAGCGTAGTCCGCGCTGATGCCGTCGATGGCCGCGCCGCCAACACGGTAGGCGTCCGACGAAGCAATGGGTGGCCAGACTGCAACGGCAGGGGCAGGTACGCCAGCTGCACGCAACCAGGTAGACTCGGAGACCTCGAAACTGACGTCCTGGTCGAGCGACGGGGTGTGGGGCCGCCCAAGGTGGGGCAGGTCGCTGCGGGAAGAACCAGACTGTGGTTGCCTCGCCCCAGGGTGAGGGAGGCCCCGAGACAGATCTCCGCCAGCCCAGCTCTCCTGCGTGCGATCCTGACCGACCTCGGGGTCCTCCTGCTCGAACTCGGGCGGCTCGGGCCAGCCGTCGTCGATGGGCATGGGAGCGTCGACGTCCGCGAACGGGTCAGCATCGGCATCGTCCATGGTGGATAACCGTGAAGGGGCACCCGTGGGGGTTGAGCTCGAGGCCTGGCCAAGCTCGCCGACCAGCAGCGGTGGCGTCGCGTAAGTGGAAAGACTGCGTGTGTGAGGAGTACATGAAGAAACCGAGGGAGCGCCTCTCTCCCTCGCGGGGGGCGCTGCAACCTCGGCCGTGCGTATGGCTCGACTCTCAACTGCGACAGCCCATGACTCGGAGTCATCGCTGGAGGAGAGGAGCTCGCCGTCGGAGGCGACGTCCGTGGACACGTCCGTGCGAGGCTCGCCTTCCCAGGTGCGACCAAAGGTCTTACCTAGAAAGTCTTCGCGACGTTCCCGAGCAGCCGCTCGACGAAGAAGAGCGTCCTGACGCTTGGCTGAAGACGTGGGCGGAGGCGAAGGTCTCGAACAAGCGGGCAGGGGCTGAGGAACCACCAACTTCCGCGTAACCAACTGCTCTCCACGTCCACGAAGTTGAACCTGCAAGCCGCAGTGAGTTTTCCATGGTACCGCCTGGATGTCGCTCATGGTGAGGATGTAGGGAAGACATGACGAGGAGGCGAGCCCGAAGTCAATGTGAGATCCTCCCTGGCCAGCTGCGCACGTGTAGTGGGCCGAGCTCTGGATGATGTGGCCGCCGACGCGGGTGACAAAGCCCGTGCGCTCCAGGGTCGAGGCCTCGATGTTGAAATCGCCCATGACCAACCAGGGGAGCTGAAGCGCCGAGAGGAGTGCGCCGAGATGAGCGAAGCGGCGAAGGTTCGCCCCACTCCAGCCCACCGACGCGAAGGCGTAAAAGGCGATGACCACCACGGCGTAGCCCTTCATGTGCAGCACGCTGGCCTGGAAGCCGTCCGAGGCGGCCGCGCTGGGAGCACGAAGATCGCGACTCGAGTGAGCTGCAGCCAGCATGTGAGTGTGCAAGTGTCGCCTCGTAAGCCACCATTCGCCACCTTCAGTTCCGCCAGCCCCAGTACTGCGGGAGAGATTCCCGTGAAGACGCCAACCAGCTGAGCGAGCCTTGCGGCTCCATTCATTGAGTGCGGACTCATTCCCTACGTGAGTCTCGACGAAGCCAACGTAGTCGTAGCTCGAGCAACCCCTCTGCACGAACTCCCAAGCCTGCGGCCCCATCGCAGTGATGTTCGCGAAAAAGAGGTTGCGAGTCTGCCCGTCAGATGGCGCATCTCTGTTGACCTGAACCCCGTCAACAATGAGCTCCCCGTGAGATGCATGGCCACCAGTGGTTACCCTTGTGGAAACGCCTGCGCAAGCAGCGGCTGACCCCGAGCAGTCGGCTGCGACTGCGTCTGCCGAGCTGGCGTCGCGTACGTGATCAAAACTGGGCGGCTGAGAGGGCCTCGTCGCAGCCGCGCCAGCGGCGTCGTCCCACGCCGCTGGCTGTGCCTGGCGTCAAAGGCCGCTGTCCTCAGCGCCGGCCGCCGACGCCAAGGAGGGACTGCCTGGGCCCGCTGCAGGCGCTGACGACGTGGCTGAGGGCCCAGCAGCAGAGGTGGCGGCGGCGGCCTGCTGCGCCGCGGCGAACTTAGCCTGGCTGAGTTTGGCTGCAGCGGCTGCCAGCGAAGCCTCGTCGGGGGACGAGCTCGCTCCAGCAGACGCGCCCGCGGCAGGAGGCGAGTCCTCGAAGCGCACCCGAGGAGTGGCCGCGGAGCTCTCGGCAGCGGCCTGTCCAGCTGGCGCCCCGTCAGCGTCGCTCTTCCGCTTCTTGGCCATCCTCTGCCGGCCCATGGCGGCGAGCTGCTTGGCCGCGGTGAGCTTCACGCGGACCTCGCTCGAGTGCGACTGCAACAGGTCCTTCGCCGCGAGCAGCTCCTTCCTCAGCGCGGCCAACGTGGCCTGCTCGTCGGGATCGAGCTCGCAGAGGACGCCCTCGTCGAACACCGCATCGTCCCAATGCAAGGAGAAGAGGTCGCCTGACTCCGCCGAAGCCGCAGGCGCAGTAGCCGCAGGCGCGGTCGTCGAGGCGGGGCCAGCGACTGGTCCAAGCGCAGCGACAGCAGCGGCGGCCTTCTGCTTGGCGGCCTCCGCCTCGGCCAAAAGAAGGGCCACTTCCTTCTCCCGATTCTCGGCCAGCAGGAGCGCTTTCCTGCAGCGAAGAACTTGGTCCACGGCCGCCTGATGACGGCGATGAAGATCGCGGCATTCGCCCGAAGCGCGGCGAAGTGCAGCGTCAGGCGATGGCGCCTTGGCGGGCTTGGCTGCCCGCTCCGCCGCCGCCTGCGCGTGGGCCTCCACCACCTTCATAGCGGCCAGCAACTCGGGCGGCACAGGGCCTGAAGAGGCCGACGAGGCGGCACCTGGGCGCAGCAAGGCCTCGAGCGGGTTGCTCACGTCGGCTGGGGGAGCTGCTGGAGCTGGATCGCCACGCGAGCGGCCGCCGTGCTGTCCCCGAGAGCGCGGCTGGGACGGCGGGCGGTACTGCGTCACGCGGCTCCCGCAGACGCACTTCCAGCTCTGGCCGAAGAGGATGTCGTCGTACTCGCAGCGGCGGCACGTGGAGCACCGCGACCAAGGGCGAGCAGCGACGGAAGCCTGCTTCCTGCCCTGGGAAGAACTGGGCCGACGCGAAGCCCCACGGCCCATGGTGCCCAAGAGACCTGAAGAGCGAGAAGCAAGCCTCCGATACCTTCTGAAGCGCCGAATCTGCACCGCACGCCGCCAGGCCCGTCAGGCCTATGGCACGCGCGGCCCCCAAGAACGCCTCGCGGAGGCTCGGCGCGGCCCCAGGGTCCCAAAATGGGACGCCAGAGCCAAACGGTTCTTGGGAGGAGGAGGAGGAGGAGGAGGAGGAGGAGGAGGAGGAGGAGGAGGCGGAGGAGGAGGAGGAGGAGGAGAGTGGGGCCTCCTCCTCCTCCCTCCTCCTCCTCCTCCTCCTCCTCTCCTCCTCCCCCTCCTCCGCCTCCTCCTCCTCCTCCTCCTCCTCCTCCTCCTCCTCTGGCGCTGCTCAGCCCTGCCTGCGCCCTCCCGTCTGAGGCGGCGAGTGCGAGCGAGCGTCGTGGAGTCCCTTCCCCATCAGCTGGGCAGCTTGGAAGCCCTCCCCAGCGGTGTCGGAGGTGGTTCCAGTGCGCCACCCCCTGGGCAGGGGGGGGGTACCAGTCTCGTCTTTTTAGAGTCTTATGTGTATGCAGTGGAGCAGCTCCCCCTCTTCCTTTTTTCCCTCGTCCTCCCTCCCTACTCCTCCCTCCTCCCTCCCTCCGCTTCCTCCCGCCTCGATCCTTCTCCCTCCGTTCGAACGGTACCTGATATCGTCTTGTCCAGTGCCGTCTGGGCTTCTCAGAGCTTTGCCGCGCCCGCAACAGTGTGATAGGCCACTGTGACCAAACGTGATCTCTGCTTGTCATTCGGGCAATATCATCCTTTTCTCGTCCCGACCATTTGCTTTTTCGCTTGGCAGCGGAGCAGCTCATTCTGAAGATTTGCCTGTGACTTCCTCCACCTCCCGCGCCATCGCGGCGTCCTCCACCGTGATGTTGGCCCCGTTCGCCCTCGGCGACCCCAGGGGCACCGAGATGAGACCCATCGCGGCCGACAGGAATCACTGCGCTGAGCCGGCCAGACCTTGTGGATGCCGTCATGGCGGTGGCGAATGTGGAGGACCTCGAGGGCACTGGCAGATGTTCAAGAACCAGCTCAATCACTGATGTGGCGACCTTATGAGCATCATATCTTTGTAAAAAAGAGTATGCGGTAGCTATCTGCTATGTCTGTATTATCATTAGTATTATTATTATTTTTCGATTCCTATTATTATTCTTCTTATAATTTTTAGTTTTATTAGTATTATTGTTATTATTACTATTCGTACTTTGTATTATCGTTATTATCACTATTATGGTTGGTATTTCCCAATACCACCCTCTATGTACAGGGACAGCCGCGCCTGTCCCTCTACAGGAGGAATATTCAAAAATAGTCTAACAATAGTATGGGGACGATTTTTCTGATTTTTTTGACCATTTTGGGGCATTTTTGGAATATTTCTCATTTTTCGTCCACAATCCCCCTGGGGGAGGACAGGCCCGACTTAATGACAGTGCGTTGCTGTCACTGCCTGCTGTCAGCGCTGACGGTGCTGCTGCTGCTGCAACTGCTGCTGCCACTGCGGCTGCTTGTTCCACGCCGGTTGCCGATCCTGTTGCTGCCGCCGCTGCCTCCACTGCGGCTGCTACCGTGGCTGATGCCGTTCTTATTGCCTTTGGTATTTTTACGCCGCTAGTGCTGCTGTTAGGCTGTTATTGCAGCTACTTTTGTGCTGCAGCTGCGCGTTCTGCTGCCGATCAGAGGCAAGAGTGTGGGTGGCGTTGAGGCGAAGCCATAGTTTTGAGGCAGGAGTGTCGCCACCGTTGCGAGGCAGGAGCATGGCCTGATCTGAGGCGAGAGCACCCTTCGAGGCAGGACTGGCTGGCGCCAAGGTGCGAGCACCACTCAGAGGCAGGAGCGTTGCCGACGCCAAGGCGGGAACCCCATTCTGAGGCAGAGCTCTGCCCAGTTGCTGCGGCGATCGGGCCCGCTTGAGGAACCGTCGGGGCAGCTCGAGCGACGCACTCACCACACCTGCGATGATTGCGGGCGTCTGCGCTCATTGGCAGGACGTTCCTGCATGCTCCATCGGTGGTCTTTTTGCGTGCTTCCTTGCTTGGGTCCTTCGACGTAGGAAGAGTAGCCTGCATCATTTGGGTTGTGCGCCCTCCAGTGGATGTATTTTCTTAAGGTTGTGCTATCGGAGAGATCGTGCCTGGACTGCGACGCGCGATTCCTCCGTTTCTTGTCTCCCTTATTTGTTCCACCCTTCTCCCCAAAGGGCTCGGTCAGGGCCCCTCTCGCTCGCCCCCCCCACGGCTCCATCCCATCCGCTGCCGCCGTCGACGCTGCCACGGCTGTCCCCGCTGCCGGTGCCTCGCCCGATCGCTCCCGCTCGGCGGCCGAAGGTGAAGCCCTGCCACCTGGACGCCCTCACCTTCACCCTGCAGCCCGTGTACGAGCGCCGCATCGGCGTGAAGTTCATCTGGGGCGAGGCCACGCTCCCCCCCCCACTCTCCTCCCCCTCCTCCTCCTCCTCCTCCTCCTCCTCCTCCTCTTCTCGTTCCTCCTCCTCCTCCTCCTCCTCCTCCTCTTCCGTTTTCTCTTCTTCTCGTTCCTCCTCCTCCTCTTCCTCCTCTTCCTCCTCTCGTTCCTCCTCCTCCTCCTCCTCCTCCTCCTCCTCCTCCTCCTCCTCCTCCTCCTCCTCCTCTCGTTCCTCTTCCTCCTCCTCCTCCTCCTCCTCCTTCTCGTCCTCCCCTCAAGCATCTTGGGGCGCCTCGGGACCGAAGGCCGTCAGGCTCAGGACAGGCGCCCCTGGAGTGGGAGGACCAAAGGGGGAGAACAGAGCGGTAGTCAGACCACCTCTCGGCTCCTGCCGGGCAGGGGAGGCCGCATCTCTCTCAAGCTGTCATAAGGTGGGGTGGCAATGCAACCGCGGGTCAGCCAGAGCGCCGGATCTTGCAGGATCCTGCAGAGCCAGGGCTGCGTTGACCCAGGCTAGCGTGCAGGATCTAGCAGGATCTTGCAGGATCTTGCAGGATCTTGCAGGATCCTGCAACGCCTGGCTGACCTGGATTTTCCGCTGGCCTGGGTTTGCATTGACCCGGGCCATTTTTATTTTCTTATCCAGGACGTCCTTTCCCGCTGCTTCCCTCCCTCTCCTCCCTCCGTGCCTCCCCTCCCTCCCTGACGTAGCCTGTAACTCCCAGCCCTCTGGAGTCGGTTCCCTGTTTTGAGAGGGGCAGTCATTGCTCCTCTCCTGTCCTCCTCCCTTCCCCCGCTTTCCCTGTCTTCTCTCCCCTTCATCCTCTCCTCTGACCGCCTCTCCTCCCTGCTTGTCCTTGGCGCCTACCACGCAGCTGTCATCACCTTCCGTGTCGAGGAGTGCCCAGCGAGCAGCGTGCAGCACGGGCACACAAGCCACTTCTTGGCGCTGCGCGAGTCCCCACCAGCCCATCCGGAAACGATGCCAAGGCGAGTTGCCTTGATCGGTGAAGTGTAGGAGGCTGCCGTCAAGCCGAAGCTCGGGACCAGCCTGAGCATAGCCAGGAGTCAGCCATACATGCCTTTGGATCTCTCGATCTGGGAGCCTCTTGGCAGCTCACTTGGGCCAACCTGGGGCCCCTGAGGGCAAGATTCAAGGGCTTTGCGTCTCTGTTGGGGCCCTCTCGGGGCTCACTTGGGCCTTCTTGGGGCTGTCTTGGAGCCCAGCGATCAAAGAAGGGGGCTCCACAATTTGGGCCGCCCCTCTTGAGCCAGGACGCTCTTGGGGCGCTCTTGGGGTCGCCTTGGAGCCCCTCTTAGGGCTCTCTTGGACCATGCTTGTAGGAGTCATGTTGTAGCATCGGAAGCCTATCGGAAGCGACCAGGCGAGAATGCAACACACACTTGTTTCCTTTAGGTACTGACCGTTTGTTGGCCACATGGGGGCATACTCGGGAGGTGGCCACTTGGAGCTGCCTTGGGGCCTCTTGGAGGCACCTCTTGGGCTGCACCGAGCCATCTTGGAATAGCCTGAGCCATTTCGAAGGCCATCTAAGCTTACCTTCAACATGACTCACAATGATCTAAGATGATGACGTCTAAGATGATGCCTAAGATGATCTTGGGCTCTTCACGACCATCTTAGATCCACCTCTGGCAGTCGTAAGCCCCAACAACTCGCGGGGCGGCCTGTCCATAGGCCCAGTGGTAGGGGGTATTGGGGGAGTGGACACCCCCCTTCCGAAGGGGGAAGAAGGGGTGGGCAGAGGAGGAAGCGCCCTGAGCCACCTCCGCCCTAGAGGGCGGCTGGGATTCTTCGCTGGTCCTGGATGCTGCCAAGCGTAGCCTCGTCGTCGCCACTTCCTGAGCCGGGGGGTCGGCGGAGTCGTGTGCCACGAGCACCCAGCCTGGAGCTCCCTTGGCGGGTCCAGCAGAGCGGCGCGCTGCGGGCATCACAGGCAACACCTCGATTCCACAGCGCTGCCAAGCGTTGGCGCAGCATCGTCGTCGCCACCTCCCGCGTCCCCAGAGAGTCCCTAGAGAGCAGCGTGCTGCGGGCATCTGCGCCATACCCGGCCTCTCCTCGGGGGGGGGGCGATGCGCTGCTGAGTGTGTGCAGCGCGCGGGGCTGGGTGCGTGCTCTGACGGCTCAGCGGAGCTCCATCAGCCCAGCATCCGCAGGCTCCGTGCCCGTCAGGATCCCAGCTCTCTGTCGGCGGCGAGCGAGGGGGGAAATGAGAAGGAGAAGGCCTTCTCAGAAGTCCTCGCACCTTCAGAGAAGTTTTTTCTTATCCTCGGGGAAGGCTTAGACAATTTCTCAGAAGGCTGGGGGTCTTCCGAGCCTTCTGAGAAGGCCCCCCCCCCTTCTCGCTTCCCCCCCTCGTTCGCCGCCGAGTCAGGATCCCAGCCCTCTGCTCCCTGCGATCCCAGCGACCCCGGCTCACGTTCTCCAGCCGACGGCTGCCACACAGGCCAGGCTTTCGCGCGCGTAGGCCCGCCTCAGCACTGCGCTGTGGTCCCCGACCGACTCTCAGGGCTTGCTCGGTGCATCTCGTGAGCACCATCCTCCGCAGGGGAGCGCGTTTCTCGGCGGCGAGCGAGGGGGCGAGTGAGAGAGGGCGGGCCTCCTCAGAAGGCTGAGAAGTCCCCCGGCCTTCTGCGAAGCGCTCCAAGTCTTCCCCCAAGGCACACACACACACACAACTTCTCGGAGGGCGCGGGGGCTCCTGAGAAGCCCCGCCGCCTCCCGAGAAGGCTGTCTCCTCCCCACTGCCCCCCCCCCCTCGCTCGCCGCCGAGCCCCGTGCATCAGCAGCGTGCTCTGGCCTTTGGCTCGCTGCTCCCGGAGATGCCGCAGCTTGGCCGCCGGGCGTGGAGCCCGCGCCACCTCCTGGGCGGAGCGGCGCGGCGCACTCGCGGGGCACCGGGCCCCCGGCCTCTCCGAGGGACGCCAGGCGCAGGTGCCGCCGCCGCAGTGTCCTCGGGGCTCCCGGGGAGTTTTCGGCGGCGAGCGAGGGGGGGAAATGCGGAGGAGAGGGCCTTCTCAGAGGGCGGCGGGGCTTCTCAGAAGCCCTCGCTCGCGCCCTCTGAGGGGTTTCTTGTCTCTGCCCTCTGGGAAGGCTCAGGACACTTCTCTCGGGGGCGGCAAAGAGGGGGGTGATGACTAGGGGGGGTGGATATCATGGCGGGGGCCATGATATTTCCCCAGATTTCATGGCGCCTCTTCTTATTTCATTACGTCCCTGGCCCCCCCGCTGGGCCGCGCACATGCCGCCGGTCATGATTTGCACCCCCCCTCTTGGACACCCCCCTCTTGGCCGCTCCCGATTCTCAGAAGGCCGGGGGTCTTCCGAGCCTGCTGAGAAGCCCCCCCCCCTCTCGCTTCCCCCTCGGGCTCGCCGCCGAAGTTCGGCGCCGCATGGCGCGGGCGGCGGCCCGGACCACATCGGGCGAGGTGCTCCGCAGGAGCCCCCGGCCGAAGGTCGGCGAGGGGCTCGGCTGCCAGGAGCCTCGGAGCCCCGGGCCGTGGCCTTTGCATCGTGCACCCCCGAGGGCGTTCGCGGCCCTCGTCCTCGTGCTCCTCCCTCCCTCCCTCCTCCGCCGCCCTCCCTTCCCATCTCGCACGAGCGTGCGCAGCGCACGGCGCCCCGGCCAAGAGAAGCCTTCGTCGTGCCCACGTCCGCGCTTCGCGGCCCCGTCCGGAGAACGCGATCCCGTCCCCCGCGCCCCCCCCCCCTGCGGCAGGTCAAGACGCTCAAGGAGAGGACCGCCAGCATCAAGACCATGTTCTCCTCCGAGGAGGAGCGCCGCAGCCAGAGCGGGCAGGCATCAGGCAGGCCTCGGCGGCGGGCGAAGGGGGTGAAGTGGGCAGGAGAAGGCCCCCTCAGAAGGCTCGGAAGCTCCCCGGCCTTCCGAGCGAAGCCTTCTGGAGCCCTCCCTCGAAGCCCGAGCCGCAAGCCTCTCGGAGAGGGCGCGAGGGGGCCCCCGAGAGGCGCCCCGCCGCCCCTCTGAGGAGGCCCTCTCCTCCTCGCCTCCCCCCCTCGCTCGCCGCCGAGCGCCGTGGAGAGAGCGGGCGGGGACGGGGCGATGGCGAGAGGGCGGGCGGCTCCGGGCGGCCCCGTGCCGCCCCGACGCGAAGCGGCTGGGAAGGAGGGGGGGCGGGGCGGGAGAGCCGCTGCGCGGGGAGGCGCGCCCGGGGGCAGCGTGCGCTGCTGCTGGGGGCGGCGGGCGAGCGCTGCTCCTCCTCCCCCTCCTCCCATCCCCCTCCTCCCACCCCCTCCTCCCGTCCCCCTCCTCCCGTCCCCCTCCTCCCGTCCTCCTCCTCCCCCTCCTCCCCCGCGCTCCTCCCTCATCCCACGAGCGAGGGGCGAGGGGAGGGGAGGGAGGGGGACGGCGGGCAGGCCGAGGGCGCGCCCCGCAGCCCCCCGGATGAAGGAGTCTCCGGCCGCAGAGGTCGGGGCAGAGGCTCTGTCATGTTCGGTTCCTGTCGGGCCCCGGGGCCCTGCTGCCATGTTGCAGAGGCCGCCATGGCCAAATTTCCGGTGCATCCTCACCCCCTCTAACATTATAATCGCTGTCGTCGTCGTCGTCGTCGGTGTCGTCGTCGTCATCGGCAGTCCCTGAGACAAAGAACACGAACAGAGCAACGAAACGTCGTACAGCCCCCTGGATTAAGCAGTCCGGGCCGCAGAGGTTGGGGAAGAAGCTCTGACGTTCGGTCCCCGTCAGGCCCCGGGGCCCCGGTACAATGTTGCAGAGGCCGCCATGGCCAAATTTCTGGTGCATCCTCGCCCCCTCTAGCATCATAATCGCCAAATGGGGTGAAGACCGGAACTTCCCATTCCGCCCAACACTTCCACCCAACCAGTTTTCGGTCGCTCTTCAGACGACCGGAAAATTTCAGAGGCCACCGGATTTTGACGATTCCACCCAGGACTTCCTCACACAAAACAAGAACTGGTCTCATTTATGTTGCCTGAAAGTTGCGCTTCTGCGTGGGACTTCCTGCAGGTCAGGTTTACCTCCCTCGGCGTGGGCGATTCTAGACAGAACTTGTTGCTTCCAGTGCTCAGCGCCTTGCGGTGCCTTTCTGTTGTTCGGCGCGCGGGCCTGTCGGGGGGTCACCTCGGAGGCCAAGGTCTATAATCGAAGGTCCAGGAACAATCGAGGGTCGAAGCTCCCGGCCCCATTTGATAGCGACGATGCAAGGGGGCCTGCAGTGCCGATCCGGACTTTCTTAATCCAGGGGGTGCTAGCCCCCGCCGTTGCGGACAAGAGTGACGGGCGCGGGTGTCGTCGGCAGTTTGCGAGAATCGGAAGCCAATGTAAAGACGCCTGCCACCAGTCTTTTTGTGTCTGAGTACTGGTGTTATGCACTCCGATCTTTGAACAATAGTCATTGTTGTTCCCCTAGCTCCCAGCTACAGCACCAACATCTCCCGCCCGAGCCTACCTTGCAAGTTATTCATGAATCGTATCCTCGCTCGAGACTTCACTGCGCTTGCTCAAGAAGCACGCTTGGGACTCCCTCGCAGTTTAACCAGCAATCGCGCTTTCGCCGCTCAGGAACTGCCCTCTCGTTTTGAGGTGCTGTCCCCCAACGCTTGCAGCGAGCTTTTGAAACACACCGTTTGCGTTGGGTCGCGGGCCGGGGTAGGTTTGTATTTGCCCGAGTTGGCGCAAACCGCCCCCATGTTAGAATATCCAGGACATTCGAACAAAGACTTCAGGACCAATGCTGATACAAAGCTCAAATCCAACGCTGCTAAGATCTCGAAGTTCGGAAGCAGTCTGGACACAGTTCGGCGGCGAGGAGGTTCCGAACATCCGGAGTGCGTATGTGATTGTTATCTCATGGAGTAGATCTTGGCTATTTTTGGCGCCTTTTTCAAGCAGGTGGGGCCTCCTCCATAGGAAGCACTGCTGCAAACAGTCGCCTTAAGCAGAGGTTCGGAGCCAGACCACCCCACTCCCCCCCCCTTCCGCCCAGTGTCGAAACGCCGAATCAGAGAACATTCGCTTTGAACTTCTCTTGAGCTCGGCCAGCTAATCACAAGGGCAGGTCACGTGGCAGGTCACGCGGTGGGTCGCGGGGGGGCCGCCGTCCCAGTCCCGGCGGGGGAGCCTGGCGGCCACCAGTCCAACGAATGAGCTCCCAGCGACGAGTCTGAGCGCGATGCCCCGTCCCTCTCCAGTAGGGGATCGACTGCAGAATTGCTTTACCCCAAAGGTGACTTATTTTCCCGTCGAACCCATGAGGAGAAGACCACGTAGGAATAGTCAATCGATCTGCGGAGCAGTGTGGGTATGCGTCGTAGCTTCGACGGGGCACCCACTCTGGGGCAGACGCGATTCTGTAGTCGATCCCCTGCTCGACCCCTGCCCAGGCGGTCCACCCCGTGGGGGCCCCAGCCCCTGAGGTTCCCACCCCGGGCGGGGCCGCGGGGCGGGCCGCGGGGCAGTTCGCGGGCCGAGGGGCGTCGTCGACCAGCAACGACGACGATCTGCACCTCGGAGCCCCGCTTCAGCCACGCACCCAGGGCCACACTGTGGGACCGTTCGGCCCCCTCACACTCTGATTTACTCACGTGTATACATGCGTGCACACCCTGCGGCAAGTCCAGCCATCGTGCCAGTCCAGCATTCTGGGTGGCGATTGTTTGCGGGGGCAGGCCGTCACGTGTGACACCTCGTGTCCCCAGGCTTGGAGTAACCGTGATAAGGATGGTAATGATGAGTGTGATGGGGATGATAACGATTCCGAATTGCGATGATGATAATGGATGATGATGGCTGTTGATGGTGATGATGCTGCTGCTGATGGCAATGATGCTGTTCATGGTGATGGTGATGATAGCAGGTGTGGTGATCGGCTATGATGATGCTGATGTTGTTGATGATGATGTTGGTGAAGATGATGCTGTTGTTGCTGCTGACGGTGGCTCTTATTTGTTGTTGGAGATGATTTTGATGATGCTGCTACTGATGCCTGAGCTGAGGCTGGTGTTGCTGCTGTTTGTTGTTGACGCTGTTGAGGCTGCTGCTGTTGTCGTTGTTGTTGTGGTTGTTGTTGTTGTGGTTGTTGCTGCTGCTGTGGTGGTTGATGTTGTGGTTGCGGTTGTCGTTGTTGTTGTTGCCGTAGTTAATGTTGTTGTGACTGTTGCCTTTGGTGTTGCTGTTGCTTCTACTGCAATTGTTGTTGTTGTTGTTGTTGTTGTTGTTGTTGTTGTGTGTGGTTCTGCTGTCTGCTGCTACTGTTGTTGTTGCTGTTGAGGTTAGTGTTGTTGGTGTGGTTGTTGTGATTGTTGTCGTTTCGATTGCTGTTACTGTCGCCGTCGTTGTTGTTCATGATGGTGCCGATGACGGTGGCCACACCGATTATGATGACAGTGGTTGTAATGATGGTGATGCGTATTAGGATGTTGTTGATGCTGAGGCTGCTGCTGACGATGACAAAGATGATGGTGGTGGTGATTATGATGACGCTGGTGCTGATGCTGACGATTATGCTGATGCTGATGATGCAGATGATGTTGGTGATGATGCCACTGATGAATCTGCTAATGGTGATGCTGATGCTGATGATGCTGATGATGCTGCTGCTGATGCTGCTGATGATGATTAGGATGATGATGCTGATGATGATGCTGCTGCTGGTGATGATGATGATGATGCTGATGCTGATGATGATGATGACGGTGCTGATGATGCTGATGATGCTGATGCTGCTGATGATGATGATGCTGATGCTGATGCTGATGATGCTGATGATGATGATCATGATGATGATGCTGATGCTGATGATGCTGATGATGATGATGCTCATGATGATGATCATGATCATGATGATGATGCTGATGATGGTGATGATGATCATGATCATGATGATGATGATGATGATGATGATGATGATGATGATGCTCATGATGATGATGATGATGTTGATGACGATGATGATGATGATGATGATGATGATGATGCTGATGCTGATGCTCATGCTCATGCTGATGATGATGATGATTATGATGATGATGATGATGATGCTGCTGATGCTGATGATGATGATGATGATGATGATGATGATGATGATGATGATGATGATGATGATGATGATGATGATGATGATGATGATAATGATGATGATGATGGTCGTTCAGGCCGTCTCATGGCTGTCTTGGTATCCCGTGAGGCAGTCTTGGGGGTCCCTTGGGGTCCTCTTGGGCCGTCGTGGTGCCCAATTACGCGATCTTGGCTGTACGGTGGGTGTCTGCGGGCCGTCGTGGCGTCGTCTTGAGCCGTCCGAGTGCCCTCTGAGGCCGCCTTGGGTCCCACAGGACGGCCCTCTTGGGCCGTCTGGGGGCCGCCTTGGGGCCGCCATGGGGCCGTTTTGGGTACCTCTTGGGCCATCGTGGAGTCCTCGTGGGCCCTCTTGAGCGGACGGCAGCCCGAAAAGGCGAGAATGCGAACATCATGCAACAATCGGACGGGAATCAAAGATTCTGGCTTCTTCGGACGCCATCAGAGGTCCTCTTGTGGCCCTTCTGGGCCCTCTTGGAGGCATCTTGGGCCGTCTTGAAGCATTACTCGGCCGCCCTGGAGCCATCTTGGGCCGTCTTCGAGGCATCTTGGGCCATCTTGGTCTCCTCGGTCGCCTCCGTGCGCGGTCTCGGACGCTCGGAACGCAGATCCATGGGTTTGCAGCGCGGGATCGTGGCCTGGGAGGCCCGGGGAGCGCTCGAGCGCAGCGCCCGGGAGTGTGGGACGTGCGCGAGCCTCGAGCGGGTGCGCGTGGGATGGGTCCA